ACTGCCGTAGAAATCCCCGGTGCTCCACTTGTTCATCCCTCTATCGCTCCTCTCCTCTGATGACCACGGATCTTTTTACTGTCTCCTCAGTTTCGCCTTTTCCACAATGTCATATAGTCAGAATATACAGAATACAGCCTTTTTGGATTGGCCTCTTTCACTTAGTAATAAGCGTTTAAGGTCCTCTATGTCTTTTCATGTCATGATATCTCCCTTCTTTTTAGTCCTGACTGTTCCATTGTCTGGATGTACTAATGTCCTTTTTCAATCGTGCATTTGTTTCCATCGATTGCAGGATAGCAGTCTGACAGGGTAGCGGCAAAGGTGAAATGAAAAGGAAGGGACAGCTTGGTAGCCATGACTTCCGGTGTCGGAGGAATGGCTGAGCTTCAGAGTTCTGAATGAGGGGTGCTGCTGATGTGGGGGTCAATCTCAGTGTGGCCGGGGCAGAGCCCAGGACTCCACACAAACAGGATGTGTGTGCATTTGTTCAGGACAAGTGACAGAGATCCGACTCAAACCAGCTTAACCTCAAAAGTGACCGTGTTGACTCTTGTGACTGGGAATTTCAAGGGGTAAGTCTGGATTTTCGGGCATGGCTTAATGCAGGGCTGGAAAAACGCCGTCAGGGTCCTGGTCCTCTCTAACTCTCAGTGTGGGCTTTCTTCTGGGTTGGTGTCGTTCTGAAGCAGACTTCCCCACAGGGCTGCTGCGCGATGGCTCCCTGGAGCGCCAGGCTTACTCTCTACCAGCTGATTAACACTGGGGCAAATGAGGCATCCTTTTGCCAGCAAAATTCTCAGGGAAGAATTTCCCTGGCCCAGCCCTGAGTGAATCCCAGGGGCTTAGGGGTATCCACTCGTGGAATTAGGGACTGGTATCCTCCCCACTACCATTACCTGAGCAACATGAGAGTGGGGGAAGGGATGTATCCAAGGGAATATTGGGGTGCTCTCACTGAAGAATGGAAACGGATTCTGTGCAAGTGAAATTAAGACTAGACTAGACTAGGGGAAAACAGTTCTAAAAAGCAGAGCTGAGTGTTGACACATTACAGAGAAGCAAGGAAAATAGTGGTCTCAAACAGTGGTTTCAAAGCAATCAATTGAAAACTTCATTATACTCTTCTATAATTGAAAATTTAATGTCTGGTGGGGCCTGATCTCTCCTTTTCTGGGCCTACATGTTCTTTGGGCTGCTGGAGAAGTAGGGAGGAAATGTTGGGCTCACAGCTTCATTTCTATCCTTTCTGCCCCAACTAGAAAGCTAAACACGTTTCCCAGACTCCCTTGCAGCTAGGGTAATGGATACAAATTAATTTCATTAACTGGACGCACTCTGATAAGATTTTCAAGGCAGAAACAGGGAGGACTCCATCTTTCTGCGGCTTGGTTGCTTTCTGCTGTCAGGCTCCATTGTGGAGATACTGGGCTTTTCCGCCATGTCTGTCTCTAGCTTTGTGGGTTTTGAGGGACAGTAGAGTAGACGAGGGGACAGCTCCCTGGGTGGGACAGTTCTACAGCTCTTCGAGACATTTCTGCATTTCTACAGACACGCATGCCAATACACATTTTCAACCACTTGAATGTTTTCACATTCTTCCTTGACTCCCATAATCCAGGTTTTTTGATCTATCATGTATTCCTCTGGCTCCTGAATTTCCCTATCAAAGTGTTTTCTCACACTGTATTGAAATTGCTCATTCATTTCTGTCTCCCATGCTACATGTAACGGTGAAGACTGTGTCTGTCCTGTTTAGTGTAGACCCAGGACCTAGCATAGTGCCTGTGATACTGCTGGCCCAGACATTCAACACTGAATTCATATTCTGCTACGCTAAGGGCTTCCAGAAACTGGAATGTCTCCGGAAGTTCTCAGATCAAAGATTAGCTCTAAAGATCAAAGGAGGTGACAGAAACACCAGAGGTTGAGGCAAAATCTGGACTTGGCAAAATATCTTTTTTTCCTTTCCAAGTCTCTCATATTCCCCACCCCCATCCTCATCTCTTAGCTCAACCGAAAAAAAAAAAAAAATAGAGGGGAGGAGAGAGCAGTTGAAACCACTTTGTGGCATGGTATCATCTCACTGTCAACCGGCTGGCTGTTTTCTATGTTCTTCATCCTTCTCAGACTTTGTCCCTGTCCCTTATAGGATCTGTCACCTGCGAGGAATTTTTAACCTAAGCCTTTGTTTTCTCACAAGATGGAAATGTGGTGCTTTATAGATGGCCACAAATTCTTTCACACTATTCCCATCACAGGGTGGGATCTGTGTCCCTGAGCCCTGACTGTTAATCTGGGTGGGCTCTGTGATTGCTTGGCCAACGGAATATAGCAGAAGTGATGCTGTGCACATTTCCACACACAGGCCTTAAGAGGTTGGCAGCTTCTGCTTCCTGTCTTAGACTATCCACTCTAAGGGGAGCTCCCCGCCAGGCTGTGGGGGAGCCTGAGCTAACCACAGAGAGAAGTCAGATAGTGAGAGAGATGCTGGCTAGTTGCAGCTGTGTCCCAGCCATTCCAGCTGAACGGCAGACACGTGGATGAAGAAGCCATCTTGGATGTCCAGCCCAGATGAGCCTTTGGATGACTCCCGCCGAAGCTGCCGTCCGACTACAACATGAGAGGCCCCAGGCGAGAACTGCCCAGCAGAGCACAGTCAACTGAGGGAACTGTAAGCCTCTGTGGTGGTTCACTAAGCAACAAGATATAACTGCAACAGCAAGTAATGATAATATCTAGCTCATAGGACTGCCGTGAAGGTAGAATGAGATTCTCGTATGCTGAATCCCTAGTCTGCAGCCTGGAATAAAACAAGTTTTGGCATATATCAAGTCCCCTGCCCCTTCCCCTTGTTCTTCTTCTTCTTCTTTTTTTTAAAATTCTATGCATTTCCAAGAAGCGGTAACTCTCGGTGTTATCATCTGAAGCAGGTGGGGTGGAGGTGGGCTATTTGCTAGGTGTTTTGAATCTGAAGAGCTCCCTTTTCTTTTTCCAACTTTCTCTTGTGTCTTTCTTTTCTGTGTTCTTTAAAGCACAGCCAGATCATTTAGACTTAAAATAAGAATACCAAATTCAGCCTTTGTGTGTGTGTGATTTTTCAGACAGAAAAATCATAGGCTTAGTACAGGCTCATGGTCATGAAAATCAAGCTCCAGAAGTGAAAATGATTCCAAGCAAAATTCCCCTGACAACTTTTGTCATGTTTGTGTATGAGTGTGTGTGTGTAAAAGCAGTTAAAAACTTTGGACTACATAATTATTTTACTACGTAAGCATCATGGAATTACAGGCTTGGGGGGGGGTTAAAAAGAACATGATTACCTGTAATTATAGTCTTGCTAAGTTTGATGTTATAGAACAACAAAATTCAAGTTGATTATACCCACGCAGAAAGACATGGTGCATATTGGAAATGCTCTTTTTTTCCTTCTGAGTCAAATGGCTAAATTGATTTCATATTTGTGATCTTCCTAGAAGTCAACCTTTTGTTATGTTTATTGCCAAGGTTGTTTGTGTGCCTTGCTAATTACATTTCCCCACCTAGACTTGCTGCCAAGTCTAAAGTTTGAGATTAGCCCTTGATTTCCTCCAGACACCTAAATCATAGGCAAGAGGGTTCATCTCAGAGGCTGAACTGGGTCAGCCTCATAAATTCTGTCAGATACCTGGTCAGTTAAGTTCAGAGCATCAGGGGGAGTCAAACTAGATGCCCAACACGTGTAGATAAGGGAATTGGTTTATTTTACCTTTTTATATTTCTACCTTTAATGTGGGTGTGGACATAAAGCCACAATATTGATTGCCATTCGCCCCTAGGATAAAAACCTCTGGAACACGTGGGGGCCCACAAGGCTAGAAGGGTGAGGAGGAGAGTGTTTGGGATGGGGGAGTGGGGAGTTGGTCAGCCCGAGTGTCCAGTGACATTCTGCAGTCAGTTCCAGATACAGAATGTTGCTTGGATGGGGCCTGCCGCTGAAGCCTTCCCCTAATGAGAACCTAAAGGGCAGGAGCTTGGGATTTTGTGCAAGCCCATGTCTTCCTTGGCATCAAGTCACTTAACTAAGTCTTGCCATCCCTTAGAACCAAAAACAAAGTGCTGAGGACCCTTTCCGGTTTCTGGCTCCCAATCCAATCGGCATCCAGAGACAGCTGGGGTAACTGTTTTCTTTCCATTTCACAGCTCTCGGAGGAGGTGTGACTGTGTGTGAGGCGCTAGAAAGCTTGTTCTATAATTACCTCGTGATTTGCCTGAGTGTGCAGTACACCCACCCGACCTTCTGTGTGCTCATGTGCGCTAGTCAGAGGTTGAGTGATCTGCTGCCTTGTGCACTGGAGGCAGAGTACATGCGTCTAGAACAACAAGGGTGACATTATTTTACCCCAAAGTTAATTGTCACATCTCAGGGGAGTGGACATGGGGTCTTTGTAACTGATTGCCATCACAGCCAAATCTATGATCGGAGGCACTCAAGTCAGTGCAATCACGTCCCAAATTAAGGAGATGGGCATAAGCCAGGCAGCAGGTCGCACGCTCCCGACCCCGAGCGCTCACACTCTCGAGGCCCTGGCAGCCGCCGCGCCGCCTCTCCCACGCCCGCCGCGAGGCCGAGCCCCGCTTCCCGGAACCCGAGGCGCCCCCACCCCCGCGGCCACAACATGGGCCGCGTGCCCGCGCAGCGGGACCCCGGGCGGCACCCGCGCCTGCCATTGGCTGCGCTTTCGGCTCGCGCCCACATGTTGCCCCCTCTCCGGCCCGCAGCCCCACTTTCCCCGCGCCTCACGAGGTCCCGCACTGGCTCCCGGTGCCCCCAGGGGCGCGGCGCGCGCCGAGCGGCGCCGGGGGCGGAGCGTCTCGCGGGACGCCTCGGGATTGGCCGCGGGAGGCAGGGGGCGGGGCCAGCCCCGGAGAAAACAGCGCGCGCGGAGCCCGGCTGCAGTCCCCGGCACGAGCCTGAGCTAGTCCCAGTTCCCGCGCGGCCGCGCTCTGGTGCCTTTTTACCGCAGACCCCTCGGGCCGGGTTCTCCCGCCCGTTCCCGCGCAGCACAAGACGTAGGTTCCGCCCCGCGTGGTGCAGCCCCGGCTGGAGCGGCGATGCGCCTCATCCAGAACATGTGCACGATCGCCGAGTACTCCGCCCCGGGCAGCGCCGCCGCCGCCGCCGACTGCTGCCTGGGGGCGGCGGGCCGCCGCCTGGTCAAGATCGCTGTGGTGGGGGCCAGTGGCGTGGGCAAGACCGGTGAGTCTTCGCGCTCGGGCGAGAACCGACTTATCTCTGGGGTTGGACGTGGACGGCCCCCGCTGGGAGTTGCGTGTGAGCGAGGCGTCGGGGAGAGGTGGGAGGGCAGCTGGCCGCCCATCCCCTCCTACTGATCCGCTGCTCCTCCGCGAGGACCTGAGCCAGCATCGCCTCTAACCCCCTTCTTCAACAGATGAGGAAAACTGGGATCCAGAATGGCCAGGCCTCCTTCCGGGCACCGCCGGCGCAACTGGGATTAGAACTTTGGGGATCCTGAGCCTTTCTGGCGGTGCCTGGAACAGAAGGGGGACTTAGGGAACAGAACCCCTCCTGGAGGTCTTTAAGGTTAAGAAAGACCTTTGTCTCCTGGAGGCGGGTGGGCCAAATGACCCTTCCAGCTGGACAGAGCTATAATTCACCAGGCCTTCGATGCCTTCTACCCCCTCTCGGTTGTGTCTGGAAGAAGGGTCAAGGAGCTGCAGGGTAGGAATTTCACTTGGTGGCCGCCCGGTTTGCTTTCTCTGCGAGAGTGGTTTCCCAGGCTGGGGGTGGGGTGGACACCAATTTAACTTCTCCAGAGTTAACTCTCTTTCCTTTCTCTTTTCCGACCTGCAGCTCTGGTGGTCCGGTTCCTCACCAAACGATTCATCGGTGACTATGAAAGAAACGCAGGTGAGGAGGCGCATTTGGAGAGAGTGCGCTCCCCTAGCACAGGACTGCTGCTCTTAACCCTTTTTCAGTGTCTCGCAGGGGGCCTCACTCACAGTGACAGTCTGAGCATCAGGATCCTGCCACTTCCAATTTTGCTTGCCCCCTCCCATAACTGCCATCTGGCCTCATTCCATTCCAAGCCCATTCATCATTTTATCAAGTGCCTGAAAGTATTCTCCTTGGTATGTTTTAACTATAGGGACCCCAGTTGGAAGCACCCTTTGTACTCAAGAGCCTCTCCCTTCAAAACACTCCTGCAAAAGTCATAAAAAGAAAAACAAGAAAAAAAAAAAAGATGGCCAGCTCCTTCCCCCGCCCCCCTCCCTCTCTGTTGGCCGCCTTTCAGAGGTGACCTTTTAAAGCAAAGGCCAAAGGAGAGCCGTTGTAAACCTAAAGTTCTCTTTTTTTTAACAAAGAAAAAAATGACTAGATGGTAGAATTTGAGGAGGGGAGTTCCCAGATAAGCCAGAGGACTCTATTTCAATCTCTGCGATTAAAGATGGCCACCGGGGAGGCTTAAGGGCTCTCTACCTATGCTCTGTTAGCAAATTGCTTAAATCCTTAGACCATATTTAGTACCTAAGGGGATTATTTGAAATGTGCTATATAAACCATCCCAAGATAAGGCATGACAGCCTTCTGCTTTGATGTAGATTTGGCTACCATTATGTCACATTTTTATTCCAACTGATAATGTGGGCTGTGCATTTACTAATAATATTTGCCTACCAAGTTATTACACCTAATGACTAAACTGATGCCAGAGAGTAATGAAGTACTAAATTAAAACAAATGGCCATGAATGCTGAAAGAGAAAATTTACTTCAAGGAAATACTCCATGTTTAAAATGAGATAAGTCAGTTTCCAAAACCTTGCAGACATTGCCTTGGTTTTAATAAATGCCCTAATCTGGGGTTAGAATTGCAATTGTTCAAAAAGAACAGCTGAAATACGCTCATTAGATAGAATAAACTATAGCTTATTTGTGTGCATTGGTTCAGGTTATATATATTTTTTCCTACTTAAAAAAAAATCCCACCATGTTTTAAAAGTAGTACAAGAAGGAAAAACATAATAAGTGTGTGTGCATACACACACACACTTTTTTTTTTTTTTTGCCTTTATAGGTAATCTCTATACCAGACAAGTGCAAATAGAAGGTGAAACCCTGGCTCTTCAGGTTCAAGACACTCCAGGTATTCAGGTACGAAGCTCTGAGATTCATGACTAAGTCAGAGGGAGCCTACTTGGCTATGGAATTGTTCAGTTGTTCTCAGAATAAAGCTTATGCTGGAGAGGACTGAAATTTGGGGGAGTCAAAACTAGGCTTTCCACATGTTGCTTGTCACTTCGGTTGTCTTTGGCTGTTGGTCAGTCTTTGCCTGGCTTCATCTGGGAGGTTTGGCTGAGGGGCAGAAATCTTAGGAGGATTCTATCCGGCAGGAAAGACCAAACCAAACACATATGGAATTGGCACAGTTGTCTTGCTGTGGTTAAAACGATCCGTTTTTACCTTCGTGCATTTGGCATTGAAAATCAAACATTTAGGTCTAGTCTTTAAATCCGTGGGATCACTTTAATATTGTGGAAAGTTACTCTATAGACAAAAGAGCCCTGCTGGTGTGTGTGTGTGTGTGTGTGTGTGTGTTTTCCCTCTTGAACTGGGCGGTTATCCAGGTTTAAATGCTTCCAGCTCCTATCTTTACTTCCCCAGACTTACTGTCTAGCCAGTTAATTTCCCATTTTGTGCAACTACAAAGTCTCTCTGCGTGGAGTTCTCTGCAGGTCAATTTTCCACTGGAGTGTGGTGAGCTGCACTGTTATTTATTCAGCTCCGTGCAGCTGGATCAACATATTGTCAAGAAAGCTGAAGCGTGTGGGGAGCTAGCCTGTTTATGGCCTGCAACCTGGCATTACCGTCAAGGGCCCCTTGGATCTTGCGGTCCAGCCGAGCCAGGGGCTCTCTGCGGCGCCCCCCCCCACCGGCATGCACCTCGCCCTCACCCCCCTCTCTTGCAGGTGCACGAGAACGGCCTGAGCTGCGGCGAACAGCTGAATAGGTGCATTCGCTGGGCCGATGCGGTGGTGATCGTGTTCTCTGTCACCGACTACAAGAGCTATGAACTCATCGGTCAGCTCCACCAGCACATCCAGCAGCTGCACCTGGGCAGCCGGCTACCGGTGGTGGTTGTGGCCAACAAAGCCGACCTGCTGCACGTCAAGCAGGTGGACCCCCAGCTGGGACTGCAGCTGGCCAGCATGCTGGGCTGCTCGTTCTATGAAGTGTCCGTCAGCGAGAACTACAACGATGTCTATAACGCCTTCCACGTCCTGTGCAAGGAAGTGAGTCACAAACAGCCCAGCAGCACGCCGGAGAAGCGCAGGACCTCCCTCATCCCCCGGCCCAAGTCCCCCAACATGCAGGACCTGAAGAGGAGGTTCAAGCAAGCCCTTTCGGCCAAAGTGAGGACTGTCACCTCCGTCTGAAGCAGAGACATCCACGGGGCGGGGTGGGGGGGTTTGGTCTTCCCAGGAAGGGGGCCCGAGGATCTTCTAGTGCAGGATCGTTGAATGCTGGCAGGAGTTCCTGGTTCCAGAAAGGGCCGGAGCCGAGGGGCCAGGAGGGCCTGGGGAACTGCTGCAGAAAAGTCCGCATTCTGAGCAGGGGGACAGAACTGCTGAGGCTGGGGAGGGAGCCCACTGAGCCGCTCTGGACATGCGACCTGGACTTAGTGTCTTTTCCTTTGCCGTGGAGAGGGCGGCAGAATCACTTTGGAGTTTGCTCCTTACCTTGTAAATGACCGTCAGCTGTAGTTTCAGCAACGGGATGGGTGTGCTTGACAGTGGGAATGAAGAACAGATTAAGCACTGTCCCCTTTTTTCTCTTTCTTCCTTTTCCTTCTTCTCCCGCCAAGAGGAAGAACTGCTTTTTCTCTCACACGTCTGATTTGCATCTCTGGAACACTAGTCCTGACAGAATGCCTTTCTAACCTGAAGGATACCCCAGATTTCTTCTTTAAGGAGCAAGGAGGAAATTACTCTCCCCCCCAGCCCCCCAGTAAAGGGTGGGGTTTATGGGCCAGATGTGATGTAGGTGGATGGACATCTGTAAGCTTATAGTGCCTGCAGGAAGGCACTGCTTCCTCCTGACCCAGGACAGGTGTGCTTGGTCGAGTATGTATTGAAGGGTTGACAACTCAAACTCTTCAGCCCCGGACTTTGAGTAATTGTGAGACTGTATCATTTTTTTTAACTCTTGCATCAGGTACAGAAAAAAAAAAAAAAAAGATGTGTTCATTGACTTTGGTGTGATTTGTGTAAGTGGCTCACAGCAATGACGTCGGGTCGTTTCCTAGGCCTGGCCGAGTCGTGGCTTAAATACGGAAACACGGTCTTAATGGCGAGCGAACAGATAGAGGGGCCGCCGCCGAATCCCCGACACAGATGCACTTTAAAAAGCCACTCATTCTTTGGCTTAAATTGTAATTAATTTATTTTACGTACAATAAATCTCATTTGAAAAGAGCAGATGCCTGACTTGGTCTTTATTGAGATGTTCACATTCTGTCCTTTCACACAAAGCGTTCGTCGGTGTCCTGTACTTCTTGGTCGCTTGACGTCAGGTGCTGTGCCTTCCTGGGGTCACCTCATAAGTCCCAAAGCAAACCGATGAGGTGCGTACTCTTGTCACCCTTTCACAGATGAGGAGACAGGTTTACAAACAAGCCAACTCACTTGTCAAAGGACCCCCCCCACCCCAGCCTGTGAGCGCTGTGAATTGTCATTTGCAGCTTTATATTCAAGAGTAGTGCATCTCCTGTCCATTCTCTTTAGGATCCTCCAGGTAACACCAGGACAAATGTGTGGCTCTCGGCTTTCTGCTGTTAAGACATCTCTCAGCTGAGCCTTGAAGATAATGCTTCTGTCCAAGGTTGTTGCTTCTCTAAACACGTGGTTTATTTGGCACACCTCTTCTTTGGGTGTACTGCTTTCAAAAAGTGCGCTCTATTCTCACTGCAGAAGCTGGGAGCTGTTGAGCGGGGGCCGTTCAGGAGCCCCTCCCATGTAGCTGCTACCACAAATGTGTGTTCGAAGTGCCAGGCCCCCCGCATCTGCTTCTAGCTGGGCCCGAGAGACCTTCCAAGCAAGCCACGTGAGTCCCCGTGGTCATGGGCAAAGGACGGCACTTTAGAGTCAGGCTTTCACGTACTGGATCTCCTTTAGTCCTGTTACAGGGAGGAGGGGAGGGGAGGAAAGCCTGCCATTTACAGGTGAGGAAAACAGGCTCTGAGTTTGGAGTGATGTCCTCAAGTTCACACAAAGGACGGGAGTCAACGTCTTCTGACTGCGATGTTCTTATTTCTTTATAATGTTCGGATACAGGGCGCCACTCGCTGCACGTGCGGGGCCACGGGACCAAGGGCGGCAGTCCAAATGACCGGCTGTTGACGGCCCGCTGTGGGATGGGGCCAGACTTCCAAATCTGTTTTCCCACAGGGTAAATATCCTGCCTGTTCTTGACAGGGCTTCTGGTGATGTCCCAGACCTTCCTTATATGGCCGGCAGTTTTCTACGCTTATGCCTAACCTAACCGCTGAGAAGGGCATGCGCTTGTGTGCGTGTGTGCGTGTGCGTGCGTGCGCGCGCGTGCATGTGTGCATGCGTGCGCGTGTGCGTGCGTGTGTGTGTTTGGGGCAGGGAGGGAAATGGCATTCACATGAGATTCTAAAAATATCTCAGTTCAAAGGCACTAACTAGTTTCTCCAACAACTTTATGCTTGTTTTTAGTTTTTTTCTTTTTTTTTTATTTGTCAGAGAGAGAGAGAGAGAGCACAGCAGGGGGAGGGGCAGGCAGAGGGAGAAGCAGGCTCCCCGCTGAGCAGGGAGCCCGACTCGAGGCTCCATCCCAGGACCCTGGGATCATGACCCAAGCTGAAGGCAGCCGCTTAACTGACTGAGCCACCCAGGCGCCCCTGCTTGTTTTTAGTTTTATTCATTCTATGTGGTTATATAAACAATGTCCAGTGACTAAGAGGTTAAATTTTATGTACTTAACAGTGGCCTTCTACCCATGTTCTGGAATTAAAGAAGACGCAGAGTTTTCCTGGGGGGGGTGCTTTATCTGGGAAAGGTGCTGAGCCGTGCTGTACCTCCATTAATGAGTGACATACTCTTTCCTTCCCCGCACCAGTCCGGCTGTTCTCCAAGCCTGCAGACCCCTGGGCAGGCCTCCCCTCCTCCCTTGTGAGCCTCACTTCCTCACCTCCTGGTACTTCATGGTTGGCCCTCCCTTTCCCACTGTGCTGCATCTCTGCTACTTCACCTCGGAAGTTTGTGGGTAGGGGGTTTCAGAGCTCTTGTCCACCCAGCGGAATAAAGTGTGCGTGTGTGTCTGTGTGTGTGTGTGTGAGAGAGAGAGAGAGAGAGAGAGAGACAGACAGACAGACCCTGCTGGCAACCTCCCAGGCCCTAGTTCTGTCCAGTGTCTCAGGTTAACTTAAATATTTATAGTTCTGGAATCCACCATATTTCCTTCTCACGAATTTAGCTTCATGTTTTATTACCTTTGCTCATCTCTTTCATTATTAGTATTTCTTAATCCCCGGGTGTTTGTTTTAAAATTTCTGAACTGCAACCATATGGTACAGAGAAACTGCCTTCTCCCGCCTAGGTAGGGGAATGCCTCCTTTGCCACCAGGGGAAGGAAAGGGAGGGATGGCGAGGGTGGTGGAGAAAGGAAAGGAATTAGAATATACTGGGCATTTATAATGTGCCAGATTATGAATGATCTCCTTTAATCTTTTGAAGAATCCTATGAGGAAGGTAATACTACCACTCCGATTTTAAAGATGAGAAAACTGAGGCTCAGATCACATCACCTGTTTCTGTTTGTTGAAACCTGTGTCGGACCGTACGGGGTATTTGAAATAATTATGTCCTCCACACCAACCCTGCAGTCCATTTTTAGTTCTTTCTACAGACAGGGAGAGGGAGGCTCCAAAGAATTAGGGAGCTGATCCACCTCCTAAGAGGCAGATTCAGGACTCCCCTCCTCCTCCCAAGCCCAGGCCTGTCTGAAGCCACAGCATGGTCCCCGGGCAGCCAGCCGCAGCTTCCCAGCTCCCCTCCTCCAAGCAAAGCGCCCCTGGGTGCTCTTCTCTTGTCTTGCAGACGCTGGTCCTTCCGGGCCTGGCCCCTGCGCCCTGGCCCCCTTCCTCCAAACCCCCGCCCCCCCTTGGCTCCTCCCTGGCCACAGGCCGCCTGGTCGGTGCATCTGCTGTTGCCATCAGCCTTGCTCACAGGCCTCCAGCCCCAGCTCGGTAATAAAGACGCAGGCAGGGGCGGGGGGCCAGCACCGCCCACAGCCCCTCGGCCTGACGACCGGATCCGTGTCTGTCTCGGTGTCTGGCTTTCGAGTTTCCTCTCTGCTGCAAATCAAAACCATTCGGAGCGCTCTGCAGCCTGCCTGGCCGAGGGGCGCGGTGAGCAGGGGTGGGGGCACCTTCCCACCGAGGTTCCTGCCAGCCCCAGCCCGCTTGGAAGCTGGGCGTGTGCACAGTGCGCCCCTGGTTCCGGAGACACAGGAGATGTCGACATTCGCTTTACACGCCAAGAGGGAGAGAACAAATGTGTTTTGCGAACAAGCTTGTGGGCAAATCCCTCACAGATGAGCAGTGGGGTAACTCCGGGTCCTGCCTCTGCAGGGGTGGGGGTGGGGTATGGGGGCTGCCCTGCAGAGTCTCTGCCTGTAAGTCAACACAGGGCCCTCAGGGGATGGGCCAGAAGGAATTATAGGGCTTTATTTATGACAATAAACACACCAGGAAAACTCATGTTTTCTGTACTCCCTTTAGGGTCTACAGAGAGAAGTTTCCAGAAAGTTCTCACTATCCTCATTACTTTACTAATTCAGTGTGGAGAGAACGAGATTAGTGTTACTACTGATTGTGGTGAGATCCCAGCCACCCCACCTCCCTTCTCCAATACCCTCCATCGTCTGGTTTTGTCTTTTAAAATCCCCTTAAAAGAGAGATGGAGTTTCTTAGTGTTTCTTAAGCAGGGATGGCGGACAACATTCATAATACTGGATTATTTGTTGTTGAGATTCGGTTTCTGGTGACCAGGGTAAAATAAATAATAGTGGTCTTGAGGGGAGCCTGATGGCATTCTCTGCTGTTGGGATAACGCTGTAACGGTCGGGGCCCTGGTGTAAACAGAGCCATTTCCATCGCCCTGGCCCTCTGGGGACAGCCCTCGGCTGACGCAGCTCCTGAGCACCTCCAAACACTTCGCTGTGCCCGCTATGTTTGCCGGGAAGTGGACTCCAGGAGGAGGGTTTACAAAGGCAGAAGTCAATTGCTGCCCAGTATTTACACCTCTATCAATTGTGTTTGTAAAGAGTGGCCTGCGAGGCCCTTGGCAGAGGGTTTGCATTTGTGTGTGCGTGTTTTGGCTCCGGACAGCCAGAGTTCAGGCGGTAAACACCCCGAGCCAGGCCCGAGCGGTGAAACCAGCACTCCCGCTCGGCTCAGCCTTTCAAGCCACCTCCAGGCAGCCGGAATCCCTCCAGAATTGGTCCACTGGCATGTGGTGCAAATGGGCGTCAGTCTCGGGAGGCCCATCGCAGAAGCCACACAGACGGATTTGCAGTTAGCCTTAGTGGTGGAGAAATTTCTCGTAGAGACCTAAGGCCCCGCGTGAGCCCTCGTCAGACAGTTACTGTCGATCACGGTGATTCTGATACACCCTCGGCTAGCTTGCCTTGTGCCGTGTTCTAAGGGCTTTCCGCGGATTTATCATTTTCATTCTCTCAGCGGCCCGCTGAGGCAGGCCCTATGATTGTCCAATTTTGTAGTCAACTGCAACCAGAAGTGAGCTGCAGGGCGGAGGAGCGAGGCTTGGAACCCGCAGCCACTGGCTGGGGCTCTGGGCACCGCGGCGGGCCTCTGGGCTGCACCATCCGGGAAGTCTGCGGGACCGAGGTGTTACTCCTTCTCTGCGGACCCTGGAAATGCCTCTCATGTTCTCTTCATTTGACATTATTCTCCTGTTGAGACTTGATCGTTTTGCAAGGTGACTTGCTCGGCGTCCTGGCTAGTCAAAACCCCCGGCCCTCGGCGTCGCGCGCTAGCGCTGTTAGGGATGGCGGCCCTCTATGGCCACCTCTCTCACGAGGTAGGTACCTTGCGGGCGCAGCAGTATTTTCCACATGGAGGCACTGAGGCTTGACGAGACCCACGCTGCGGTTTGGAGCACTGTTCACACCTTCGAAGGAGGTCAAGAGCATGATCCGTTTCTCCCTCATCCTCTCCTGGGCAGTGAGCACAAGAAGGAGGCAACACCAGAGAGGGTTTAGGAGGCTGCGTCAAGGGTTCAACATGCCACTTCCCGAGTCCCTTCTTTTTCCTTATCTGATGAAGGCCCTTTGTAGGATTTATACCAAGTTTCCATTATGCTCCTTCTTTTAATTCAAGGAGTAGTGCTCTGTCCTGTGTCTCCTACCTTCTTATTCAAAACAAACTCCAGTCACCCTGAACCTTCTCTTTTGTCCAAAGCCTTCCGCTACCTGATTGCCTGCCTAGCTCAGTTCCTCCTGCTGGCGACCATGGAGATGGAAGATGGTTATAAGCCTAACGTGTGACATTTCCTCCCGCCACACAGACATTTCCTCCCACCACACTGCCTTTGGGGGCCCAGTAACTGCTAGATGACCCATTTACAATCAGGGACTTCCTTCTTGTGTAATTCCAGATTAGAAGCTTTGCAGTATTCTTTTTTAAAAGACAAAATTAACTTGTAAAATACAGAAAGCCACAAAAGTAATACACAAGCACAGGTTTGCTGTGGAGAACATTCAAACAACACAGAAGTCTATTGAGAGTGAGACTCCCCTTTTTCTGAGCCCTCCCACCTATACTCCTTCCCAGAGGTCACTACTTATTAGCAGTTTGGTTTTTAAATTTCCAGAGAGTTTCCTTTGCATACAGACGTATGGCGTAGGACTTTACCTTGAGCAGGTACTCACACGGAGCCAGAGCACCGGGAGAAGCCCCAGCTGCTGAGTCTGTGAGAGCCCCAGAATCAGGGGCACGTCTGGCTCCCTCACCAGGGTGACCAGAACCTCGCAGAGTGCCCGGAACATGCCACTCAGTATGTGGAAATGAATAAATGCACATTGACACACGTAACATGTTATTATTATTATTTTTTCTAATTTTAAAAAAGAGTGATCTCTGCTTTAATTAGCATTTCTTTCGGGCTATCGCCATTTTCTCCCTTACTCAGATTCGAAATTCTAGATAAGGGGAATGAAAGAAGCATGTGGGCTCTCTAGGATCAGCACCACTGGTATTAGGTAGACAACATAATTGGACCAAAAAAAAAAAATAAATAACACTGGTGTCTATAAAACTTGCTTTGCATCTCAGAATGATTTCCAACTTCACGGTTTTTTCATAAAATAACATTTTACAGGGAACTAAAATCCGAGACACGAGTGTTTTGATTTACATTTTACTTTGCCCACCTGTTTAATCCACTCTAGAACTGTTTTTCAGCTTTCTCTCTTCATTACACACATCTTTTAGAGATGCTAGAAATTTCCATGAACCATACACCTACAAATGTGTGGGTTCCAAGCAGTTCATTTTTGCCAGAGTTCTTAAATAATTTCCCTAGTTGGGTCTAGGTTTTTCTGCCATGACCAGAAGGAAAAGTGAGACACACTGAAAAGAGAGCTTTCTATTTCAATAGAAACACTAATTCATAAAAGTCCCAGGGGTTGGGATTCCCATCTAGGCTCCCTGGACCAGAAACCTTTATGGGGGCCTTCCTTTGGGAGGGGAGGAAAGCTTTTATGGGCAGAACCAGCCCTCCAATCAACCTCTCTCCCACTACTGTTGCAAGTAGCCTGGGGACCCTGCCCGGTGGGCTCGCGGGGACAATGCTGTCCTTTGTAATGACAGGCCAAGTTATGTGGCCGGTGGGCTACCAGCACGGCTCTAGCTGCTAACCCCTCCGTTCCCTGCCTTTTCAGCAAGCTCTCAGATCCAATTTGCAGTGTACCCTCCCCAGTTACATAATCTTAAGGAAAATCAAACTTTCTTCACACTCATAATTCTAAAGCATGTCTAATTTCTTGAGCAACTGCAGATCAAATAGCTTGTAAGCTACCAACACGTGCCAACAGGTGTTTATGTAGAATTCAGGAGCTTGCAGTTGGAATCAGGAAGATCACAAGCAGAGAAATGGGAATTATGTCGAATGAAGCCAGCTGAAAGACACCTTTAGAAAAACGAATTTTTTTTTTGTTTTTTTTTTAAGACTCGCCGGCAGTCCAAGCAAAGCACTTTGCTACATGGTTCTCAAGACCTTTGGGGCAGAATTCTGTCCTCCCCACAATTAGCAAGAGGACACTGGGTTTGGAGGCATATCTTGAATGGTGGCAGGCAACAGGATGGGTGTTTCCACCTCGGGCAGCTCTCCTCTTAGCAGCCGCTCAGAAGCCAAGGTCTGGATGCAGCCGGTCAGTGGCAAATAACAGCTCAGGAATGTTAAGTGGCTTCAGGAGTCGCGTGGACAGCACGATGACCTGCCAGCAGGAGGGGACAAACACACCGCAGACAATTAGGAAAGCCAACCCCAGGTTATGGGAGGACGAGAAATAAAACGCAATGTGTTTCTCTGGGGGAAGTCACGGAGTGGGGCACTGTGGAGAAAAGGCAGAACGTGGCAGCTTGGACGCCGCCGGATGCTAGGGTCCTGGGTGGAAGGAGGGGCGCACAGGCGGGGAAGGATGGCCTGTGGGGTAGCGGGGCTCTGTTTCCTGAACCGTTAACCAGTTGGCACCGAGAATGGCCGAGCCCAGCCACCACCTGGCTGCTGAACTGAATCCGATCATACTGTAGCTTTGGGATCCAGTAATTTGACCTCAATAGAGAGAAGGTTTCTCTCTTCTCCAGAGAGCCTTTGCTCCTTCGGGGAGCATAAGAAGGCACACCCAAGGGGTGGATGGCATTGTGGGTGATGGTGATGACTGTGTTAATTTCCTAGGACCCAGAGCTGGGGGGTTTAAATAACAGAAACTTATTGTCTCATGGTTCTGAATGCCACAAGTCCAAGATCAAGGTGTTGGCACGGTTGTGAGGGAAAATCAGTTCCATGCTTTCCTCTCAGTTTCCTTGTGTCTTCACACTGTCTTCCATCAATGCATGTCTGTCTCTCTGTCCAAATTTCCCCTTTTTATAAGGACACAGTCATATCAGATTAGAGTTCACCCTAAATACCTCATCTTAATTTGATCATCTGCAAAGACCTATTTCCAGTAAGGTTACATTCACAGGTACTAGGGATTCAGACTTTAGCATCTTTTGGGAGGGGGCACAAGTCAACCTGTAACAATGATGGGATAAGGATGGTATTGGCTAACATTTATTGGTTCTTATGATGTGCCAGGCACTGAGCATGATCTCACTTAAAATCCAGGCAATCTTCATCACAACCTTATAAAATGGGTACATTTATTATTCCTATTTTGTAGATAAGGAAAATAAACTACAGGGCGCCTGGGTGGCTCAGTTGGTTGGGCAACTGCCTTCGGCTCAGGTCATGATCCTGGAGTCCCGGGATCGAGTCCCGCATCGGGCTCCCTGCTCAGTGGGGAGTCTGCTTCTCCCTCTGACCCTCCCCCCTCTCATGCTCTCTCTCTCTATCTCATTCTCTCTCTCAAGTAAATAAATAAAATCTTTAAAAAAAAATTAAAAAAATAAACTACAGAAAGTTTAAATAACTTGCCCAGGAACAGACAGGGAATCGTTGAATTAGGATTCCAACCCAGGCAGGCTGACTCCAGCATCCAAGGGCCTATCTGGTCACTTCGGTCATGTCAAAGGGTCTGGGCAAGGCTGCTTTACTCCCCTAGTGCACGGGGACCTTTAGGCCTCTCTGGCCTGTCACTGTGGTGGACCCTTCCTGCTTCCTTCGGTCGGGACCTTGCCTCTGGGGTAGATTTCTCTTTATAGCACTGAAACAACTTATTCCTTGGGCCTGGGCTGGGTCTGTGATGTGCTGGGTAAGGGCTAATGGCTGGTGAGGTTTTGCACAGGCGGCCAGGGGAGGAGCTGACTCTGGGAATGGAGAAGGAGGTCCTAGAACTGGAATTCCACAGCCCAGCGTCTGAGCAGAGGCGACTGCAAGGTGAGCAGCAGGACCGGGCTCTACCGGGCCATACAGCCTGGGCATGTGCACGCTGATGCTGCACACTTCATCGTCTCCCCCGACACATTGTTCCAGGTGTTCCCAAGCCAATGATGTAACCAACTCCCAGCTCACTGGTCAGAAACGAGTGTCCCCACTCCAATGTGAAGGAAAGGCAGACGGGGCCCAAGTCGAAGAAGGAAGGAGAGAAGAAAGCGTTTTATAATTTTCTCCTTCTTCTTCTCCTTCTTCTTCATCTTCTTCTCCTCCTCCTTCTTCTTGTTAAAGAAGGGAGGGTTATTTTTTTTTTTAATAATTTTTTTATTT